GTTCATTTTAAAACAATTTATTTGTTGCATTGTATTTGTTTTTAGCACTTTTCTGTATGCTTGTTATAATACCTACACGTGTAAAAAAGGGGGGAGGGGCATCTGGACTTTGGAACCAAACAAAGAAGCTATTTGACTCTGGACACATTATTGAAGGTGCAAAATAATATAATCTTTCTCTTGGAGAAAGATGATATGAAACAAGCAAAAAAATGTGAATCTCTCTTTAAGAATTAGTTTTAAAAAATAAAAGAATTAGTTTTTCATTGAAGAGAAACTGAAAAAAAAATCTCACTGGAATCTAAAAGTCCTTTAAACAGGTGTTATGCTATAAAATATTCTAATCTGTGCTAATGAAGCAGGATTTACAACCTAGTAAACTAAACAAAGAGCTTATGTTGAGTTGATTAATCAGCTGGGACTAAAATCCATGTACTTAAGAGACAGTTTTTGCTTTTTCATTTTTCTTTGCTCCAATGTAAAAAGATGCTGGCTCTCTTATTGTGAAATTGCTTTATTACAAGACTGTCTCAACACACTTGAAATGCAGCTTCTATTTTTGTGAAACTTGTTCCATACACGTTAGAGAATTCCTAATCCTACCTAATAAAATAGTAACATGCAAATTAACCATCACTCCACTATACCCACAAGCCATGCCCACCAGCCAATCAGAAACAAGTATGCAAATTAATCCCAACCAAGATGGCTGAGGCCACAGAGTGAGCAGGAGGCTTGGGTTTCTCTAGAAATGGAGGAAGCCAAGCTTTCCACACACCCTGGTTGGCTCAGGCCTCCATTCAAGGCTACAAAGTTTCAATTATAGGAGATAAATAAATCCCAACAAAAATGGCTGTAGCCACCGAGCAAGCAGAAGGCTTGGCATCACTCAAGGCTACAAAGTTTCAATTATAGAAGATAAATAAATCCCAGATACCAGGGCCTCTACTTGGATTGCCAGGGGGTGTGGCCGGCCTGCAAACCATCACAGGCCCCTCACCTAGGCCATGACATGCCCCAAGGAAACCCCCACCCTGACCTGGGACACCCTTCAGGGCAAACCAACTGGCCCCCACCCATGCACCAGGCCTTTATCTTATCTAATAAACGAGTAATATGCAAATTGACCATCACTCCAACACACAAGATGGCTGCCTCCATGTGGTCAAATATGGCTGCCCCCATGTGGACACAATATGGCTGTCATAAGATGGCTATCATGGCAGGGCAGTTGAAAGGGACCAGGCCTGCAAGGGAGGGCAATTGTGGGAGTTCAGACCAGCAGGGGAGGGCATTTGGAGGGACCATGCCTGCAAGGGAGGGCAGTTGGGGGCAATCAAGCTTGCAGGGGAGGGCAGTTAGGGGAGACCAGGTCGGCAGAGGAGGGAAGTTGGGGGTGACCAGGTCTGCAGGGAAGAGCAGTTGGGGGGCGGGGGGAAGATCCAGGCCTGCAGGGGAGGGCAGTTAGGGGCAAACAGGCTGGCAGGGGAGCAGTTGGGAGCCAGCAGTCCTGGATTGGAGTGGGTGCAGGCTGGGCTGAGGGATACCCATGCCCCTGTGCATGAATTTCATGCACTGGGCCTCTAGTGATAATAATGACTTATGCAGAGTCCCAACTGGGAACCAAGCACTACTTCAGGCAGATTGCAGTTATTGAAACATTTTGACACGATACTATCATCCTTTAAATATTTCTTTACGCCCTAGCTGGTTTGGCTCAGTGGCTAGATCGTGGGCCTGCCGACTGAAGGGTCCTGGGTTTGATTCCGGTTAAGGGCACATGCCGGGGTTGCGAGCTTGATCCCTAATAGGGGGCATGCAGGAGGTAGCCAATCAATGACTCTCTCTCCTTGTCCTTTCCTCTCTGAAGTCAATAAAAATATATATTAAAAAAATAAAATAAATACTTCTTTACTTTGTGACACAAAAAGTTGTTCTAGGGTCATCCTATATTTTCTTTTCCAGCCCTGGATTCTCAGTTGTTTTTCCAAAGAGCCCTACCATTCCTTTAGTAGAGAATGGTATTTAGAGCCAAGACCTAAGCTTGGTTATTGCTACAGGCATTGCCTTTAGAACCTCTCAGCAAACAAGATCAGAAAACACACACACACACATACACACTTTTATATCTATTTCTATTATATTAAGTGCCATGCGTTCATACTCATACATTGAATTCCAATCCAGCAGCAAAGAGTTCTTTCAAGCTTTTCCCCTTTTCATATTTGTATCTCCTTTCTTTAGCACCAAGATATCTGTTGTTGTTTTTTTTTAAACATTTTGAATGTAACAAATTTATAATGTGTGTTTTGCTATTTTTAAAAAATATTGTTCTCACTTGTATTGGTCTTTGTTTTCCAAGAACTATCAAAATTCCAGAGTTTTATTTTATTCACTCAACCAACACACATTTATCAAGCAAATACCATGTGTCAGATAATGTTCTCCGACTAGGGATTCAGCAGTGAATAAAACATCGTATTGGGAAAGGAACCACGGAAAGAGAATGATAGATACAGAGCTAGGAAATGGCAAAGCTGGGATCTGAACCCAGACAGCCTGGCTCCAGAATTCATACTATACCATCTGCCTCTGATTGCTTTTGTAATTTGCTCTCTGCCTTCCACAAAACTTTACAGCTCTCATGAATCCAATAAAAATGCCTCTGTCCGTTTCTAAATCTATGCAATGCATCTTCCACATTACTTAATTTCTCTGATACTGTTTCCAAATCTGTAAAAATACATTAATCTCAACCTGCTGTGAGGATAAACGAATTATATGAGATGCCTGGTGCTACTTGTGACACATCAGAGGTATTTAGTGAAGTTTCCTTTTCCATTTCAGCATCAATGCTGCACTATAAAGTTCTTCCAGGACAAAGACTTTTTTCTCTTCCTCATTCAATCAAACACTTGTTTATACATCCATTTATTCTTACATTTATTCAAAAAGCATTTATTGAAAATCCAATATATACCAGGTTCTTTGCTAGTTGTGGGGGGTCCAGTAAAGCACAGCCTCCATTCTCTAGGAGCTCACAGTCACATCCAAGAGACACACAGTTGCTATACAATCTGACTTGTAGGTCAGATGAGCGTTAGAAGAAGGGCAGCCATCGAAGAGGCCTTCTTGAAAGAAGGGGCTCCATCATAGCAAAGACTGATGCAGCAGTTCTGCTATTAAAAGTTGCCAAAGATAGCCCTAGCTGCTTTGGCTCAGTGGATAGAGCGTTGGCCTGTGGACTAAAGGGTCCCAGGTTCGATTCCAGCCAAGGACACATGACTGGGTTGCAGGCTTGATCTGCACCCCTGCCCCCAGTAGGGGCTGGACAGGAGGCAGCTAATCAATGATTCTCTCTTATCATTGTTTCTATCTCTCTGTCCCCTTCCCTTCCTCTCTGAAATCAATAAAAATATATTATTTATTTATTTATTTATTTATTAATATATTTTATTGATTTTTTACAGAGAGGAAGGAAAAGGGATAGAGAGCTAGAAACATCGATGAGAGAGAGAGTCATCGACCAGCTGCCTCTTGCACACCCCCTACTGGGGATGTGCCCACAACCAATGTACATGCCCTTGACCGGAATTGAACCTGGGACCTTTCAGTCCACAGACCGACGCTCTATCCACTGAGCCAAACTGGTTTTGGCTAAAAATGCATTTTTTAAAAAGTTGCCAAAGATAGACTAAACAAATGAATGTGTGAATGAATTTTATTCAGTTCAACAAATATTTCATAGAAGATCTGCATTGCACTCTGAACTGGGAGTATACAGGTGAGAAAGGGGCAGCCCAGGCGCTTAATGAGCTTCTAGTTTTCCTGGCAGATATAGACTTCTATAAGGAAATATTTCAATGCAACGTAGCAAATTATAGGAGTAGGCAAGCTCCTGTGACAACAAAATGATGAAGGGGGCTCTAAGGTCTTTTAAGGTAGGCTTCTTAGAGTGAACTTGTTGAAGCTTCGATATATCCAGTAGATGAAAGGGAATCATCTAATCAAAGCAATAATATGGTCAAATTGGTATTTGTTTGTAGGATGGAGGATGAAAACGAGGAAGACTAAAATCAATGATACCAGCAAGAAGGCTGAATTATGGATGGGAAGCTTGGGGTAGACATTTGAATGTGTAGAATTTGACAGTTGTGCAGTTACTCAGAGCATTCATGGGAGGAGCCTTGTGGGGGGAAAAAACACCACTTTTAAAAATATATATTTTTATTGATTTCAGAGAGGAAGATAGAAACATAAATGATGAGAGAGAATCATTGATTGGCTGCCTCCTGCCCACCCCACACTGGAGATGGAGCCCGGCAAGTGCCCTAATCTGGAATTGAATCTTGACCTCCTGGTTCATAGGTCCATACTCAAGCACTGAGCCATGTGGGCTGGGCTGAACCACTCTTTAAGGAGCTGGCAAAGAAAAGGCAGCCCTGGAAGGACACCCAAGAGAAGAGTCAGAGGACCAGGAAAGACTGGTGCACTGCGTGTCCAAAGAAATAAAGAAAAGGCAGAGTCCAGGAGGATCAGGAAGGTGGGAGCAGTTGTGTCCAATGCTGTACCGAGTTCCAAAAAGCCTCCCTTTGGTTGGCAGTGGATGGCCTTTGCCAGAGCAGTTCCTATGTAAGTGGTGCAGGTGAAAGTCTCCTTGCAACAAACGAGTGAATGAGGGAGTAGAAAAAGTGAAGGTGAGGAAGTTAAATGAATGAATCAATCACGCGCAGTGCCCTCACTCGCCTTGGGAATTTCCAGGGCCGATGTCGGGAGTTGGTGCGGAACCAGGACCTTCCAGACAGGAATCTGGGTGCCAGCCAGGAAACCTGTCAGCCTCACGACCCTTAGGTAGGCGCGGCTCCAAGGTCAGGGTCACCTCGGGCCTCTCTGCAACCCGTCACCTTGACGACCAACTGAAAAACAAAACAAACAAAAACTGGTAGAAACGGAAGCAGTCAGATCATCTCGCGATATCTGGCACGCCGTCGCGCGTCTTTCAGGCCTGGGAACCGCGGGCGACTCTCGCGAGACTTGCCTGGAGTCGGAGCGCGGGGCCAGGCCGCGGGGAAAGCCGAGCTCAGGTGGGAAACATGTCGGAGTCCGAGCTCGGCAGGAAGTGGGACCGGTGCTTGGCGGACACGGTCGTCAAGATAGGTAAGGGCTTTTCTCCCCTAGGCTCCGTTGAGCCGGAGGGCGGAAGCGAAGCTCCGCGAGAGTCAGGCCGCCAGGCCTGTCCCAGCCCCTCAGGCCGGGGCGAGTTGCCCGAGCCCAGGCCGAGGTCACCCGGGCGGGCGGGCGGGCGGCGGGGGACCTGGGCCGTAGGCGCCTCGGCCTCGGCCTCGCCCGAGCGGGCGGAGTGCAGTTGCAGGCCTGCAGAGGGGGGTTGAGCTCTTGGAGTAAGAAAACGGTATGTAGGGCACAACCTTGTGCCAGCGGCTCCAAACCCTCCCTGGGGCCGCCTCTCCCGCGCCGCCTCCCACCCCAGCGGAAACCACGGTTCCTTCCAAAGAAGGTCATCGGGAGCACGTTGCAGACACTGCCAGCCCCTAACGTGAGCGGCTGTCATTCCCGAGTTGTAACCTGATTTATCGGCGTCGGAGTAGTCCAGGGCCTGAAACTGGAGACACGGCGATGGGGATCTGGAATGAGATTTGCCCTGGAAAGTGAGACATTGGCCCCTTTGTAGTCCTTGATGTAACTCCGTGGAGCCTTTTCACATGTGCTCAGGGACGACACAAATTATGAAGTCACTGCAGGGAGGGAAGGGGGAAGAGGGAAATTCCTTAACTGAGTGAGAATATTAAGGTGCCAGACACTGCTGGGTGCCCAGCTTTATACATTACCTCATACAGGTCATGAAATGGAGAAGGGATTTGTCCAGGGTCTAATAAATGGCAAAGTTGGGAGTTTATCCCAGGGTTTCTGGCTTCAGGTCCCATGGTCTTTTTTGATAATAATTTTTATTTTTGAATTTGATATTTTTGTGTGGAAATCTCGAGTATTTAGGAGGATTATTCTTGAATGAATATATAGGAAAATAAATGATTGTAAGCTTCATGAGAGCAGGGAATTTTTGGTTTCTTCATTGCTGTATCCTCACCCCCCGAGGAGAATGCTTAATAAACATTGAGAAGAGTGCATAAATGGAGTAATGTATCACAGATACCACTTCACCCTTGGATTTACTACTTACCAAATGTGTGATTTGGGACAAAGTTATTTAATTTCTTCATGCCTGTTTTTTCATTTGTAAAATAGCAATAAAAATTATTACTGTCTCAGAGTTGTTGTGAGGATTAAGTAAGTTAAAGGCTTGCATTTGACTCACTTATTAAGAATGAGTTAAGTTGTAAGTAGCCAAAGAAATATACAGTTTTTGTTAGTGTTAACAGTGTATATTTAGGAGAGAAGATGTAACACGTAGATATGAAATGACCAAACAGTACAGTGTAGTAGTTAAGTATGGGAGGTAGATGCCCAGCTGGTTCGATGGTTGAACCAGGAGTTGATTCCCAGTCCAGTTACATGCCTGTGTTTTGGGCTACATCCCCTGTGGGGGATCCTGCAGGAGGCAGTTGATCAATGATTCTCTTTTATCATTGATGTTTATATCTCTCTCTTCCTCCCTGAAATAAATAAAAAAAATATATATTTTTTTTTAAAAGAATGGGAGGTAGACAGAGCTGGGTTGAAATAACCCACTCCCATCCACAGCAGTTTTGTAGCTTTGGGTAAGGTATTCCTTAAATGGGGATAGAGACACATTTACCTAAAAGGATTATGGAGAGTGAAGGTCAGAAAAACATATAAGAGACTTAGCATGGTGCCTGGTGCTGTGTATTTAGTAAATGGTGGTAGTAATTACTGATATTAATATTGTTTTGCCAGTGATGATCAAGTGAGGCAGTGTGTAGTGTCATTGTCCTTCATGAGTGGGACATTGGTGGTGGGTATGGCATACACAGATGGAATAATGAAATGAAGCATGGTAATGTATGATTACAGATACAAATTAAAATGAGTAATTCAGACTCTTCGCTGTAGTACTATTATAAATCCAGTAAATGGAGTGATGGGTCAAGGTCATCCAGTAAGAGTCTGCAAGGGAAATGGCCTTTTAGCTGACCTTTGGAGAATGACTTGGACTTGGAAAGTCAGGGAAGATGGAAGAATTTGAGCAGAGGCCCAGTTGAACTTACATAGAGGAGGAAATTGAAGCATGGAAAGATTAAGTCTTAGAAGTGGAGGAGCTGGGTTAAAACCCAGACATGGTAATTTTAGCACCCCTGTTCCCCAGAGAAGCCTGGTTTAGGTGGAGTCAGAACTGTGAAATGTCTTGGAGAGGTTCTACTTTGTCTTCAAGGCTTTTGCGCTGCCCTTGACTTTTTCACATGCATTCTGTAGATTCAGCGCCTCTGTCTTACTAGTATATTAAGTCTATTACTTTCTGCTTCCAGGGCTCATTACACCTAGTCTGGTGGGGAATCATGGGATGGTTTTATTTTGTATTTTTTAATATCTTTTTATTGGTTCAGAGGGGAAAGGAGGAGGGGAGAGGAACTGAAACATCAATGATGAGAATCATTGACCGTCTGCCTCCTGCACGCTCCTTACTGGGGATCTAGCCCGAAACCCAGGTACATGCCCTTAATTGGAATTGATCCTGGGACTCTTCAGTCCGCAGTCTGATGCTCTGTCCACTGAGCAAACTGGACAGGGGATGGTTTTACTAGTAAACAAGAAATACTTGTCGAGCTCTGGGCCAGTCAGTGGGCAATAGAGAAGCAGAAGAATTTCACTGCCTTTCACAGGGAATTGATGTGCTATAATGAAATTTTTGTTATGATTGTTCTAGCAATGTTTTATACCAAACAGATTTAGAGTAGAAGAGACAAGCAGTATTGTAAATGTGAAGTGATAATGATCTGAACTGTTAGATTGGAAAGGAATATTTGAGAAACTCCTAACTTTTCTTCCCATTTATAAAATGAAATAGTATAACCAACTCACTTCCTAGACCAGCAAAGTGACAAGCACATAGCAGGAACTCAGTAAATGCTATTTTCTTTATTTTCACTCCAATTGGTTAACTTTGCTGATTTTTTACAGAGAGGAAGGGAAGAGATAGAGAGTTAGAAACATCTATCAGCTGCCTTCTGCACACCCCCCACTGGGGATGTGCATGCAACCAAGGTACATGCCCTTGACCGGAATCGAACCTGGGACCCTTCAGCCCTCAGGCTGACGCTCTATCCACTGAGCCACACCGGTTTTGGCTGATCTTCATTTCTTATAAAGATGACACCAAGGTTAGAACTTGGATAAGTGGTAATATTATTGATCAGAATTTGGAAGTGAAACAGGAGGGATGCCTGTGCACCTCTTTTATACCAAATAACAGATAAGTTTTAGTAACTGATTACATTTAGCAGGAGGAGACTACAGGGAGAAAAAAAAGGTCATGATTTTGGTTGCTTTTCTCTTACATAGTTAAATTTGAGGATGATAATGGAGAAGTTGAACGGGGATTTTTAATTTTGAGGGGGCAGCTGAGTTCCGATTTTGAGGGGTTTGTCTCATTAGTGCCGGACTTAGAGATAGGGCATAAGAGATGAAACATGGAAGTCTAATTTTGGGAGGCTTTATTTTACTACTCTGAGTAGTCTTTGGCACTGCAGGATGTACTTTTTTGTAGTGAGTATTTATTAGTTCCTGTTCTTTTAGGCAGAGCGGTAACAGAATTTTTAATATCTTTGCTACGTGCTTTCCTGGTACTTCAGAATGGAAATGGAGACTCAGGGAATAAGAAACCTGTCAAAAGAAAGAGATATTTTAGAATAGCAGTCGCCAACCGGTGGTCTTCCTCTTTCCCTCCCTTCCCCTTTCCTCTCTCTCCTTCCCTCCCGCTATTGTCTTCTTGATAGTAGCTATCTTAATGGGTATCTTGCAGTTTGATTTGCATTTGCCTAATGATTAAGAGTGTTGAGTATCTTTACATGTGCTTATTGGCCATTTATATATCTTCCTTGGAGAAATGTCTATTCAAGTCCTTTGTTAATTTAAAAATATATATATATATTTTATTGATTTTTTACTGAGAGGAAAAGAGAGGGATAGAGAGTTGGAAACATCGATGAGAGAATCATCGACCAGCTGCCTCTTGCACACCCCCTACTGGGGATGTGCCCGCAACCAATGTACATGCCCTTGACCAGAATCGAACCCGGGACCCTTCAGTCCGCAGGCTGACGCTCTATCCACTGAGCCAAACCGGTCTCGGCCCTTTGTTCATTTTTTAATCATTTTTTATTGTTGCGCTTTAGGATTCTCTATATATTTTGGATATTTTTTATTTTTTATTAGATTCATGGTTTGTAAATATTTTCTTCCATTATGTGAGGTGTCTGTAGATAGTAAAATTTATTGATAGTCTTTTGGTGGACAACGTTTTTAAATTTTCATGACCTTCAGTTTGTCTATTTTTCTTTTGTTGCTTGCGCCTTTGATGTCTGAGCAGGAAAAACTCGGTTTCTCTTTTATTCATGTACTCATAGTACTTCTGACATCAGATGTGTGGGTTTTCCACACCAGGCAATCCTCTGACACCAGCTGGGTTGGTGGCCTATAATTCAATTCTGATACAAACTTGGGTTAGCACAGACCCCACAAGTTAAGGGCTTTGTCCCATAAGACTGCCCCCACTTCAGATGCCAGTTACAAGTCCAGATTGTTACCTGTGCTTCTGACTGACTGGCTGTGGATCAGAGGTTCAGTCATTTGCTAGAATGGTTCACAAAACTTAGGAAAGCATCTTACTTACCTGTTTTCCCGAAAATAAGACAATGTCTTATATTAATTTTTGCTCCCAAAGATGCGCTAGGTCTTATTTTCAGGGGATGTCTTATTTTTCCATGAAGAAGAATATGGTACACATTTATTGTTAAATGAAAATAAAGGAAATTTATTACCTGTATATGGTACGGTAGTACGGTAGTTGTCAACACAAACCAGACAAACTGTGAATCCTACAGTATCAAGAATTTATTCATTTATTCAATGACAATCATGTCATCATCTTCTGGAACATCATCATAGCAATCCAGTTCCTGGATTTCCTGGTGAATTTCTTGTGACTCCGTTTCTTTCAGAATCAA